CTGTTGCATTGTGGTAAACTGTGGTCAATGACATGAGACAAAGTATATGTGAACTGCTGTATGGAAAGCGAATTTGCTCTGTAAATCTTCACCCAATCACAATAATAAAAAAAATAAAAATAAAAAAATAATCATCACATAAAAGGTGTATACTATTGCCAAGCTCTGTTCTAACTCAAACCAAACCATTCACCCACTGCCATTGAGTTGATTCTGACTCATAGAGACCCCTACTGGGTTTCCAAGGCTATAAATCTTTATGGAGACAGACTGCCTTATCTTTCTTCTGTAGAGTGACTAGTGGGTTCAAACCACTGACTTTTTAGTTAGCAGGCAAGTGCTTTAACCACTATACCACCACAGCTCCTTCTGTTCTAAGTTCTTTACACATATTATAACAGCAGTCTTCACAACAACCCTATGGGGTAATCACATTTATTATCCCCATTTAATAGATAGGAAACTAAGGCACAAAGAGTATAAGTGACTTGGGGCAGGGTTGGAACGCGAGCTTAGGCAACTTGGCTCGGTCTTCACCACAACACAAAGCAGACAACTTCTAGCTGGTGAGATGAGGTTGAGACTGGCAAACTCAGGCATGGCTGGTAAACTCACTGAGCCTTCTCAGATGCAACATAAAAATAGAGAAATTCCACATGCTTGGTCTTTGCCCAGTAAACACATTCCAGCAAACTGTTCCTGAGCACAAACCTGGGAAAGATGTTCAGCACTGGGCCTGGCAAAAGCCTGAGAGCCACTGAAATGCCCAACACCAAGAAGGGGTGGCTGGAATATTACGAAGCTGTTATAACTGGGAAGACTCTAAAAACGTGGAGGGAGGGAGATAAGGCAGAATGAAAACAGCACATACAGGGTCAATGCAAAGTAAGGGGAAAAGCGTGTTTGCAGACTCCGAGTGGATGGTGATAAATGTAAAAATGAAGTCAGTTGTTGAGTCTGGGCGGTGGCGTACGGGTCACTTCTCTGTTTTTTAAATGTTTCCATAGCTGCTGATACATCCGTCTTTTACACAGCCGTGGCAGGAACATTTATTACAGACTGCTTATCTCTTGCCAGCCTCTGAGGCCTGAGAGATACCTGACTGTTGGGCAACAGCATAAAACAGAAGGAAAACACAAGTAACTAAGAGACAATCTCCAAACACAGCCACAGCAGCGCTCACCCAAGGAAACAATCAAGAACACTGTGGGCAATAGCAGCCTCCAGAGAGATGGGGCAACCAGGCCCTGGGGGGCCCCATGACGGAACAGGTCAGGAACCTCATCTTCCAGGCAGAATGCTTGCCGCACTTCCCTCCCACAGACTGTCCTGTGACTCGATGCTACGCACACAGTTATGGCATCTGGAACCTGGGGCTGGCACTCCACATGGAACTCTCTTTAAGCAGAATGATTTATGAAAATAAGGATTTATGAAACTGATAAATGAGGAGATAATTATTCAGATTGTGAGAGGAGTCACTGAAGGGGTCCCTCCTGCAGCTGAGAGTGGAGAGTGCACCAGTAATAGTCATGTGGCATCAAAGAAAGCGCTGGGTTGTGTGTGTGTGTTTTTTTTTAAATTGATAGCCTACTTTGCATAAAAAGCCACATTTTGTTCTCTTGCCTTGTTTCATTTTCCCAGAGTGCCGCAGCACTGCCTGGTATCTGATTTCGGCTTTATCTGTGTATTTGTTTCTTCTCCCTCCCAGCCACTGGGATCTAAGCTCAATGTGAGGAACCGTGTGGGGCACTCTCCATCCCCATGTCTTGAACAGTGGCCTTGAGGACGCCACTGAGGCCTCACGGGAGGTGGAAGGAACGGATGAGGGTCCTAACCCTTACAGCGCCTACTCGTCTGATGCATATCACACGCATCACTCCCCTCTGTCCCTGCAGTGACCTTTGAGAGGGAACCGTAATCAGTTCTTGTGCACAGATGAGGACATGGAAGCACAGTCAGGCAAAGTATACTGAGTGTCATCAGGGAGTGTGACAGGGACGTGACATGGTTGCATTCTGGGATGGCCAGGAGATTGCACCTCTTAGGGCACTGAAGCAGGGACCCAGGTGGTGAGGAGGACTTAGCAGAACACCAAGGGCAGGCGTGGACTGCTTATGGGACACTGGCCTAATAGTGACCTGACTGATCACTGGTCTCTGTGCAGGGTGGTTGCAGCTGTGTGACTGTGGGCCAGCAACATGGCTCCTCTAAACCTCAGTTTCCTCAATTGAGGGGCCCCAAGGAGCAGGAATTTAGGGATTATCTGGATGTCACTTCCGGAAGAAATCATTTTTAATATTAAAATAATGAGGAGGAGAAGAGAAAAGTTTCAAGTACCTCATCTTACCTAATCCTACAGCCCCCCAATGTTAGGTCTACCATCAGCCCATGTTATAGATGAACTTGCCCAATGTCAGACAGCCAAGGACATAGCCGAGCCAGGATTAAATTCAGTTCGTGGGGCTCCAGAGCCTGCACTCTCCCCCACCTCACCCCCTGCCAACACCAGGCTTCACACAACAGGGGCTCAGAGCAAGAGTCTATAGGAGGGAACAGCTGTGGGCTTTCTGGAGATGATGGTGTTTGAGTCAACCCCTGAAAGATAGAAGGGTAGCAGGCAGTGGTGGACACAGGGTGGCCCACAGGGCCTGCTATCAGTCCTCTAGGATGTCCCCTCAGCACAGCAGAGATCTCAACTCCCATTCTTGCATGCTGAGGGGGCAGGTGTGGAGGACACAGCTCACTGTTTGAGGCTCTGCCCTTTTCCCAGCTTGTTTCACCTTGGGCAAGTCACCACACCTCCCTCCCGGTCCTGTTTCCTCTTCTGTCAACAACCCCTGGGGGGTTGTTGTGAGGGTGACCCATGGTCAAAGCAAACTCGGAGCTAGGTTATAGCTCCAGCTCAGACTGGCCTGTGTGAGGCTCCCCGTGGTGCTCATTCCCTCCTTCCTTCTCTCGACCTGAATTTTCTCTTAAGGCACTGGGTTCACTCTTTCATGGGCATGTTTTCCTCAAATGATCTTCTTCAAAGCGCAAATGAGAATACCGTCACTGGATTCTTGGTGAACAAATCTGTGCTCACCCTCTACAATTCAATCCTCTGCCATCATCTCTTCAGATCCAAGGGCCCTAATCTTTTCAGTCTCTCCTCACATCTCAGCCCTTTGATCACTCTCATTGCTCTTTGGAGAGCCTTACTGGGTGTGATTCCATCTTTCATGAACTTGAGTGACCAGAATCACTAAGTGTCTGCTGGGAGGGGCAGCACCGTGGGTTTGTGCAGGGGTGAGGTGGGGCTGCTGGATGTCCAGAGTCCTCTCTCCTCCCGGCTCCCTCTCCCGGAACACACGCTCACTGTCCACCTTCTGACGTAGGTACAGATGACTCTGAGCTCACCCTGCCACTGGGCAAGGGGCTGCTCAAGGGCAAAAGCTGTGTGGCGGTGTTATTTTCGCCTGCCCAGCAACTCTCCTTCATCTTCCAAAACCATCCCCTCAAATTTCCTCTTAGGAACTATTCCACTCTTCCTCTTACTCCATGTACTTGGGTGGAACTAGCTCATCTCTCACCTTGAGGGGTGGCAAGGGGTGGTCAGACTATGCCACCTAACCAGACACAGTGACTGATTGACTCAGGGACAGGAATGAGACCCAAGCCAAGCCTATGGGAGCCATCTTTAGCTGTCTGCTAGGCTGTTAGGAAAGAAGTGCTCTCTTCCCTTTGGTTGTTGTTGTTGTGTGCCATTGAGTCGGCCCTGACTCATAGCGACCCCTCCTTGGGTTTCCGAGGCAGTATCACTACAGAAGTAGGATTGCGCAACCTTCCTTCCGAGGAGTGGCTGGTGGGTTTGAACCGCCAGCCTTCTGGTTGGAGGAGGATGTAAATGTGGGCTTCCAGTGGCTGTCTTTGCCATCAGGAAGGAAGTATCTGTCTGAGAATGAATTTTATATGGGAATACACAGCTGAGAAATGGGGAATGACTGGTTTGGGTGGCAGGTCACCTAGATCCAGCTATGCCAGAAGCGAACCAATTTTACCCTGGATTTTTAATGATATGAGTCTGTAAGTTTCCTTGTTGTTTAAGTCCTCTGACTTCTGTCCCAGAGAACCAAACGAGTATTTAGTAATATAATCTGTGTCTCCCTCATCTTGATATTTGCCCTTGTACTAGTGAAACGCCAGACACTTAGAAGGTACTCAGTGAAGTTCTGCTAAATGAAGGAAAGAATGCCACTCAGCATCTTTCGGGCAGCTGTATTAGGGTAGATCTCTCCTAAGAAGCCACCCAATGATGGCACAGCGCTGGCCTGTGTTTTCATCTCCTGTGGTGCCCAGTATAAAGCTCAGTGGTCAGCTTTCTACCTAATCCTACAACTACATTTCCATGTAAATGGCAGTTTACTCCTACAAAACCCCTGTAGGGAAGTTAAGACCAGCGGCGATCCTGACATGTTTCTTTCCTCTTGATAATTTATGACAATGTCCAACAAAACACAAATAAGAAAGTGCAGCCTAGCTCTACCACTTCCCAGGGGCACAGACTTAGGCAAATCCCTCACCTCTTGGAGTCCCTGGGTGACACAACTGCTAGCCCAAAGGTTGGTGGTTTGAACTCATGCAGAGGAGCCTTGGAAGACAAGCCCGGCGGTCTGCTTCTGAAAGATCACAGCCTTGAACACGCAAGGAGCATGGCTCTGCTCTGTACCCAGGGGGTCGCCAGGAGTCAGCATCAACTAGATGGCAATGAACAACTAGTTCAGAGCTTCTCCACCAGGGGAGGTACCACCTCCCTAGCAGGCTCTGGAAATGCAGACGGATGATGTTGTCATAGAGACTAGGGGTCACAGTGGAATTTAGCAAGGAGGGTGGTGGGCAGGGATACTAAACTCCTACTAGTGGGTTTCTGCTTTATTGTCTGCAAAATGGGTGTGACACCGTATCTGGGTTGTGTTCCAACCAAACGAAATGATGGGGCAAGGTGCCGGCACACAGCTGGCCCTCAGGAAGAAGTGCCTTCAAAGTTCAACCCAACAAAGGCCCAGAGGCACCCCCCCTCCTAACAGGTCTGTATTCCAAGGTGGTTTTTTTCACTTCTGCCTTCTAAATTCCTGTGATCAAGCCAGCTCTCTCTGGATGACAACATGTCCTCCCAGATTTTATGGCAACTCAGTTTTGATATTTATTTTTAATTGCCTTTGTGCTGTAACTCTGTCTCTGGAGATTCTCATATATGCTATTGGCTGATACCCCTTTGACTGCACACTTATTGATCCCCCGATCGATGAGGACAATTTGCTCATAAGGGACTATGACACTTTGCTTCCAGACAAGTCACATGTAAATGACTTAACTGTCACCCAGGTGTTTGGTGGCATCATCCAGCCTGCAGGAGACTGAATGAAAACACGCAGCTCCGTGGTATTCATGATGATAAAGACCCAGGTTGGTCTAATCAGCACCACATTCTGCTCTTTTTGTTTGAGGAAGGGGATGAGCATGGGGCAGCTGAATGCAGAGGACATCACCACGGCATTTCTGGCTGATGGCGAGTGTATCCAGTTCAGAGGTTCTCCACCGGAAGAGGTACCACCTCCCTAGTAAGTGGTGTTGTTGTCATAGAGACTGGGGTCTCAGAGAGGAATTTAGCAAGGGGGATGGTGTACAGGGATACCAAACCCCTACAAGGCATGCAGCTACTCTGCACCATGAAAACTCATCCCGTGCAGCATGGCCACTGGTGCCCCACTAATAAACCTTCTAGGAGATCAGCCAGCCAGCCCGAAAGGGTTGAATCCACATTTGGGATGACAGGCCCCAGACTCTCTTGGCTGGAAGCCCTCAAGTCCACTCCCACAACACAAAGGCAAGGCCCAAATTAGCAGCCCCCTTCCCAACCCTCCTGCGGATCTGTTTTGCGGGATCTGTGGCATTCTTATGTTTGTTTTGTGTTTTAATTTGAATTCATCACCAACATCTTAAAACTCAGGAGATATCATAACACAAATCCACATTTTTAGCTTCCTGGGGAAACATGGAAGATGTGGACCCATGTTGCCATGTTACAACACCCACTGGACCTGAGAGCTCTAAGCACCCACTGTGCCCGCTCTGCCAGCCTCACTCACATCTCATACCTGTCTAACCGCTCCTAGCATCTGAGTTTGCAAAGTTTTCGCTGAAGAAAAGCCATAGTTAAATGACTGTGAACTCCCTCAGTCTTTTTTTTTTTTTTCTTCTTAATTGTGATTTGGTGAAAATTTACAGAGCAAATTCAATTTCCATAAAGCAGTTCAGATACACTTTGTCTCATGACATTGACTACAGTTTACCCCAATGCAACAGCTCCTCCCCTACTTCCTCCTGACAGTCACCTCTTCCCTGTGTCCATCCCTCCATGCACCCGGAGCTGTCTCCCTGTGCATAAACAGCCCTTCTTTCTCCCGTGATTTATCTCTCCGAGGAGTGTATCTACCTCAGGTAAATGTTCAACTCATATGCCTGTCTTTTGTTTGGCTGGAAGCCACAGGTGTTGAACTCCCTCAGTCTTGCAATGGCATCTTAGTGGTAAAGTCTCCTTCAAAGCAGGCCATGCTGCCTTGACCTTGATCACTAAACACCGCATGTACTGTGGGCTTTTTTCAAGAACCAACACTCTGCTGTCAAGACCCACTCTAACTTAATTGTAAATGACATGTCAACCAACTTCAAACATGAATGTAAAATGACTCCACCATCACATAACAAGGCATGATTGTAGGCTCAGATTTCAAAGCCTGTAAGATCACAGGCTGGACTATGCAGGTGACTGATGCCCAGGCCCTGCCGAATTCTATCTTTTCATGACAATCCCACCTTCTCCCGGAACAGAAGCAGGAGGCGAGAGGTGGCACTTTCACGGTGAACAGCTTGCTACAGCCCCATCAAGAGAAGCAATTAAATCAGTGAATGGGGAAACAAGCTGGGACTGCAGGCCATATTCTAAGCCTCCGAGTGGGGCCGCACACTGTCAGTAAACCTCAACGGGACTCTCATTTGGCTAACACGAAGGGCTGCCGTCAAGTGGCTTCATCTTACCGGTTTCTCTGCTGAAGCAATATTAAATACTCATCATGTTTCTCGTCAAAGTCTGTCACCATGTCCTTAGTGTAACCCTGAAACGAAGAAACAAAGCAGCGTGATACTGGCATGCAGGGAAGCACCGACTGGGAACCCGGGTGCTGCACACACGCGCAGGAGGCTGATCTTGACGCAGGCCCAACTCCCTGGGCACATCGCTTGGCGACTCCAAACCCCAGAGACTGCCTGGCAGCCCAGTGGGTCTTGAACATACACAGCGTTAATAACCGACACAAGGAGGAGGCTGGTTCCCCAGCCCTGTCACTGGTCATTTGTCCTGTGCACTATACAATCAGGGGCTCTCACAAGATTGAGGGTCCCGTTTTCTCAATCCTCATTGTTTTTCAGCTCAGTTGTCATAACCAAAAGCAATCCAAGTCGGTTGTTTAAAAGGGGACTCTCATCTGCTTGCCATTGCAAGAAAGGCACATGCTTCTTGTAAACAACTCAACTATCGTGGACGTCTACGACCCAGGGTGTGCAGGCCCCTTTGGTGTGGGCGTTTGTTGTATGGCTCCTCCTCTTCTGGCAACAGGACTTTGGAGCTCCTTTGGGGAATCATTCAAGCCTGTCTTTCAGTTCACTGCCTTCCTCAGATGCTCTTCAAAGTTCCTTTGTTCTCCTCTTGGGTCACTGACTTGGTCTTGTCAATCAACATTGTGCTCCCCTCAGCCACAGTGATTCACTGACCCAAGCTAGGCCCTTGCAAGTCAACCCCGGAGCTTTTGCTGATACTCCTGGCAAAGAGCTGATG